CGAGCAGGGAGCCCGATGTGGGACTCGATCCCGGGACTCCAGGATCATGACCTGAGCCGAAGGCAGTCGCTCAACCAACTGAGCCACCCAGGCGCCCAAAGGAACCTTCTTTTACATGGGACCATCAGTATTCTGTCAGACCAAATAGGGGCTTTTCTTTAATATTTTATTGTGAATTAGAAAAATTATATTTTTTAAGGACATTTGAAAGGAATAACAGCATTAAAAATGTATAAGAATGATCCATAATCTCTTCTGCTTAGACGTAATCAGTGTTAAAAAATTTTTTGGTTTTCAGTTGTTTGCTTACTACAAGCTGATAATTCCAGAGTTGAAGTATACTGATCACCATATACTAAAGTAATTATTTTAGAGTCCAGTATACATATTTGAACAATAGTGATTCAGCACATTTTGCTGAGTTAACTGTTTCACAATGATAGACCAACTGAAAGCTAGCATACCTTGGGAGTATATATGAGTATAAAAGTCCCATGAAGGTTCTTAAAATCTTTGTTGGGGTCTTACCTCCTTGTCTGGCTGGGATTGGGTTACTGGGACATTACTAACAAGTCTTATGTAACTAGGTAAATAACACCCATGTTTTTACTCATGAACCAAGCAGATTGCATGAAAGTATAATTACATTGGCATCAGTTCTCAGAAGTGGGTGACAAAAAAAAATTCTTTGGAACAGGTGTAATGTTTGGATACCACTGTTAGACTGCTGGATAAATTAGGACCTTCATATCCTTACCTGGTCATTCATTCCACATATAAACTGTAGAAAACAGAGTCATAGTGTTTGGTATCTATTTTTAAAAATCCATTTAAAAGAACATGTTCATGTTGTGGGTTTTGGGATTTTTGAGTTCTCTTTTATTTTTCTCCTAATATAAAGGTGGCATCTGTTTGAAAACTCAGATGGATATTAAAAAGCATGTAATAGTGGGGCACCTGGGTGGTGCAGTTAGTTAAGCATCTGACTCTTGGTTTCAGCTCAGATTGTGAGATTGAACCCCTCGGACTCCACACTCAGCATGGAATCTGCTTAATTACGATTCTCTCTCCCTCTCCTGCCCCTCCCCCTGCCCAAAAAAACCCCATGAAATAACATTTAATAGCACTTACTATGTGCCAGGCACTTTTCTTGGTGCTTTGTGTCTTTTAAAATTTTCAAAATGGAGCTGTTATCCCCATTTTACGTAGGAGGAAACTGAGGCATATAAAAGTTAAGTGTCACATTCAAAGTCTCCTGGCTATCAGTGGCAAAACCCAGATGATTTGAACCAGAAAGTCTGGTTTTAGAATCTGCTCGTAACTGTTTGCTGCATGAAGAAAATAAAATCAGGCATTCTAGCACCCAGCTACTTTTTAAAACCATTTTTAAAAATCAAAATGTCCTTCTACTTAATATTAGGTGTATAGATTTTGTTTTAGTAAGCCATTGGGTTAACTGATATGCATATTACTTCCATGTCAGCATAGGCCTGACATTTTAAATGGCTGTACAGGATTCTATTATGTGTTAACAAAAAAGGGAAACCAAAGAGTGGGTTGGCCATATTTTCATTATTTTTTCCTCTTGAATTATAGTCTTAAGTAAAATCATGCTACATATGCAGACTGAGGAGGAGCTCATTCCTCTCTCCCCTCCCCAGTTGCCACCCTAGGCCTCTAAATTCTGGAATCACCTCTGTTGGTGGGCACTGTCTTTGAAATTTTTCTGTAAGTGTCTTTAAAGGAGACCATTAGTTATTCAAGAAATTGTCTTATAGCTGGCACTTTCCTTGTTCTAATAGAAATGGAAGGAAAGCACCCTGAGATGTCCTTTTGCAGAAGCCAAGAGAGGCCATGATGTTCCCAGGCCTCTGTACGTTGTTAAGGTCATGATCACTGATCAGGCATCAAAGGGAGAAAATGTCTAAAAGAGTGAAAGGCCAAGGACAGCTTTAGGCAACAGCCCTATTTTTTCAGTAAGAGAGAAAAGCATGGTCAGAATGGTAAAGGAGGTTGATAGGCTGAAATTCTAGGAAAAACCACCACTGTCATGGAACATAATTTCATGGAAAGGTTGGTAGTCTGTGCCAGAGGCAGCAGCAGCAAGGGCGAATCACGGCCAAAAGGGGGTTAGATTTGACAGGTAACCCTGATTCCTGACTCAAGCCAATTCAAGAATAAAGAAAGAAGAAATTGGCATAAACACTGCAGCCAGTCTTAGGATACCACTGAGGGTATCTTTCACATTTATAATTAACTAATAAAGCCAAAGACTGAGTTTTTGTATTCTTCTTTTTTAAATGGGTGACATATCTGGTGATAGGGACCAGTTCTATATATTCCCTGTGTCAAACAGTAGGGACTGGCACTAATAAAGTCTGTAGCACTGATGTCAACACTGAACACAGGCTTGTTTCTTCTATTGGAATGTGAGTTCTCGTTTTGTAATATGTACTAAAGGATTAGCAAGTGAAATTATACAACTTTCAAAAAACGTTTGATCACTGAAAATACGCTTACCATGAGTGCCTGTTTGGCCACTGTGGTCCTAGAAAATCCAGGGATTACACTCTTAATCCCTCTCAAGTCCCCTTTTCTCAGGTTAGCCTGGCCTCTCTTCCTCCCTCAGTTGCGTGAGGTTCTTAGCTGGGGTCCTGCTCTTCCTTGGGGCTGCTGTATGTAATCACATAGATTGTCATAAGCCTGGCAGGTCAGTATGGTAAATATTTCTAAATGTTCTTGAGTATGTGAGGTTTGCAAAAAGGAAAGCAGACACTATCAGACCAGGTGGTTTTCTAAACCTTTTGTAGCAATGAAATCCTTTCATATGAAGTCAGGTGGAAGTCCCAGTGTATAACAGATAACATCCCCTATTTCTGTCTCTCTTAAACAAGTGGGGCATTGAGGCTCTGAGAGGGTGAGGTGACTTCTCTTAGGGTCACACAGATCAGCATTGATACAACTTAGGATTTGGACTGACGATTTTCCTGGTGATTCTGTAACTGAATTCACTTACTTGCTTTTCCAATAGTGAAAAGGAAGAAGATGATAATGAGAAAAGAGAAGATCCAGGTGATAACTGGGAAGAAGGTGGAGGAGGTGGTGGTGGTGTAGAAAAGTCTTCAGGTCCCTGGAATAAAACAGCTCCAGTACAAGCACCTCCTGCTGCAGTAATTGGTAACCTTAATATTTCATTTTCATAAAGCTGTCTATGTATAATTTTATATACTGTTGGCATTCAACTAAATGAATGCTTGTGGTAGAATGAGTGGGGTTCCTTTCTGTTCTTGGGAGAGACGTTTGTATATGTCTGTTTAAAGACTTTTATATCCTAAGTAATTTGGAACTTACGATATGTGCTTTTCTGTAGGCTGCTTAACTATATGTAAACTAACTTGTCCAACTTAAATGTTTAATTTGTTTCAATTTTTGACAGTTGGCTAAGGGAAATTGTACCTGTGTTTCCACCTCTGTTTGTGTTTTTTCCCCCCAATCCCCATTTTATTCTGTCTTGAAGCATGAATTCTCAGAAGGGCACATTTTATCACTCCTAAGAGTTGATAAGAAATGGTTCTTGGTGGGGGGTGAAGAAATATCAGATCTTCTAATGGGCTGTTGCCCACCAGAGGGCCGAAGTGTGTGAGCATATATACTGTGTGCACAGTATATATATGGTGTTAACATTTCCTGGTGTGGGGGCATGGTAGTTAGGAAATAGATGTCTAAAATGGCTCCTTAGAATGGAAGTGTTGAGAAAAGTTTGAGAAACATTGCGTTAATATATACGCATTTTTTTTAATGCAGAATAATATAAAGAGTAACAAATCACTCCAAATCTTACTGACCAGAGAATAAAGATAACTAGTGTGTGTCAACATTCTTGCATCCTTTCTAGCCCTTTGCTTATGCGTATGTATATGTTTTTCCGTTTAACTTTTTTTACTGCATCTGTCACTGATCCTGATGACCTCAGCATTGCTAACCTCAGTGTCCCAAGTCTCGGTCCTCACCCGATCTGCCCCATCAGCAGCGCTTGCCGTAGTTGATCACCCCAGGACACCACAGTCTCCTGCTCCCTCCGTGGTTGGTTCTCAGTCTCCCTGGCTGGGATTTTTTTCTCTCCTGCCTCTGAGAGAGAACCTACCCCAGTGCTCAGCCCCTGCTGCTCCCCGCACCCTTCCTCCCTCACCAGGCTCCACATGCCAGCAACTCCGAAATTCACATCAGCTCAGATCTCTTCTGACCTCCAGACACGCAGATCTTAACTGCCTAGCCGGCATCTCGATATCCACATATCCCCAACTGAACTCTTCATGTACAGTAGACCCTTGAACAGCATGAGGGTGGGGCCCCGAATCCCAGTGCAGTCAAATCCCCATTTCACTTGACTACTCCCAAACTTAACTACTGAGTGCCTGCTGTGACTAGAAGCCTTACCAGTAACATAAACATACCAATTGACACATATTTTGTACATTTATGCTACTATATTCTTAGAATAAGCAAGAGGGAAAATATTAAAATCATCAAGAAAAAATACGTTTACAGTTTTATACCGTATACCGTATTTGTAAAGAACATCTACATGTAAGTGAAGCCATGCAGTTCAAACCTGTGTCGGGTCAACACAACAGCCTTCGTAATTTCACTGCGATTCTTTCGGTCACTTAGGCCACAAATCTTGGAGTCATCTTTGATAACTTTTTCTTGCTCCAAACCTAAATCTAATTTGTCAGTAAATTTGTTGTCTTTATTTTCAAAATCAGACACTCTGTGTGACTAGTTCTCTCCAGTTCCACTGCTACCAGTGGTTTGAACCGTTAATTTTTATATGGATTAGTGAGGTCACCTCTTCACTGGTCTGCCTGCGTCTGTACATAAGCTGTTCCCGAACCTCCAGTGCTGTCCCCTCTGCTCGGAGTAGAAGCTGAAGTTCTCAGGGACCTGCAAGGCCTTGGATGCCTGGCTTGTGATCCCTTCTTCTGACTTGGTGTTTCTTTTAATCTGGACCTCGCTTCCCCTGCTCCTTGAGGATACTAGGCACACTGCTGCTGCAGGCCCTTTGTGCCTGTGTTCTCAGCCTGAATCCGCTCTAAGTAAGCTTTTTCTGCAAAGGGCCAGATAATTAATTTAGGTTTTGAGGGCCGCACGGGAGATGGTTCTAATTACCCGGCCCTGCTGTGACGGCACAGAAGCACCCGTAGACGATACATGCACCCGGTGAGTGTAGCTGCGTTCCAGTAAAACATACACAAAATCCGGAGTCGGGCCAGATTTGGCTGGTTTACCAACTCTAGATGTGTTTGCCTCCTTACGGCTTTCAGGCCTTGTTCGGTTTTCACCTCAGCACTGAGACCCCTACCCATCGTGTGCTCCCTTGACGAACTCTTCCCCCGATCTCATCTTCGGTGTGGCACCAGCCTTTACATGTGTGTGTCTCTTCCCTCAAGCCCAACACTGTCCCGTAGTACTTTCTGCAGTGATGGAATAGCCTCTGTTCGCTGTAGTAGCCGCTAGCCACAGGTGGCTATTGAGTACTTAAAATTCGACTAATATAACTAAGGAACTGAATTCTTGAGTTTATTTCATTTCAGATGGCTGCATGTGGCTAACAGCCTGAATATCCAGTTGTTTGGGGTTTTTTTTTAGATTTATTTATTTATTTAATTGACAGACCGCGTGAGGGGGAACACAAGTAGGGGGAGTGGGCCTGGGAGAAGCAGGCTTCCGGCCGAGCAGGAAGCCCAATGCGGGGCTCGATCCCAGAGCCCCAGGATCATGACCTGAGCCGAAGGTAGTCGCTTAACCAACTGAGCCACCCAGGTGCCCCAGAATATCCAGTTCTTGAAGGCATGTCCTTAACATTTGTATCCCCACTGTGTAGTTTAGAACAGCACCTGACACATAGCAGGTGCTCAGTCACTAATGAATGCGTGTGATATTATAGCTTTCCCACACTTAATTAAAAGCTGTATGAGACAATAAGCCTTTATAATAGTATTCAAATGGCTGCATTATATTGCAGCTGATAAATGAGGGAGTAGGCGTTTATTTGAAATGAAGTTTTTGATAAATGGAAAACACACGTAAAATACTGAATCCATATTGAGAATGGGGAGGAAAAAATGATATGTAGCGAAAAGCTGGAAGGTTCTGTCCCGAAAATGTTAGCCATCCTGGAAGACATGGGGCTGCTTGGCTGCTTAGTTTTTTTTTTTTTCCTGCTTTACCTGTGTTTATAAAATACGACGAAGAGCCTTAAAATCCATTGATGTAGAAGACAAGGAAATTATTAAAGATATGTAGTAGTTTATTTTTACTAGTCTTTTAGAAGTAAATATATACACAAGCATTTTTGTAAATAAATTCTTTACACATGGCATGTTATGTAACCCACCAACCAGGTAAAGAAGTGATTATCCACATTTACCTATATGTAAACTGAGGGCTGAGATAGTGCTGTTCTGAAAGACAGTCCCTGATGGACTGTCTCCCAGGTGCAGAAGATTCTTCTTCCACTTCCAGTAAGTTGACTTCCAGAAAGAACTCATGTACATAGGTAATCGAAGTTACACATGATAGAGAAGTTAGAAGACTACTCCAGAAAGATAAGAGTATTTTCACTTTCAGACATTTTCTCGGATAACTTTCCTTCAGTTGTCCAGAATCTTCTTGTGTAGGTATTGGGTTTTTTTCCTGTAATTGTCAAGTGATCGGGAATGCGGGACTGGCTTACTAAAATGCCAGGCATTTGAATAGTTTCTCTAAACTGTTACGAAATGTTAGTTACAGAGACCCCAGAACCAGCAATGACTAGCGGTGTGTATAGGCCTCCTGGAGCCAGGTTAACCACAACAAGGAAAACACCACAAGGACCACCAGAAATCTACAGTGATACACAGTTCCCATCCCTGCAGTCCACTGCCAAGCATGTAGAAAGCCGGAAGTAAGTACTCTCAACTCTTGTCTTGTCTGGGAGCCCTGTCCCTTGGCCAGCAAGTGGGATGTAGGAGATAGGAAAACCCACCTGAGGTGGAGGGGAGGGGGTCTCCTTGGTAAAGGCCAGGCTGCAGCTGACAGGCAACTGAAAATTAGGTGGGACTTATGTGCCTGGGAGTGGGAAACGGGGTAAAGACCCTGGAGGGGGGCAGCGGGGAAAGAGCGCCAAAGACATTGTCTACAAAAGTTGCTTTATTCCTGGTTGGTGTTGTTCTGTAGCTATGACATCTATGTAGTTAGATTCTTTGTAAGCACATGTTCCTTATAGCATGGAAACTAGAAATGTAAGAGCAGTATTTTCACTGTATTCCCTGTTGATGTGAATAGATGAAAGATGTTGGCATTTATAAATCTAATATTAAAATAATCTTATTTCAGCAGGTACTTAAAATGAATGCTACCTGGAATTAAATGACCACATATGGCACTTCCACATCCTTTGTAGGGACATGAATTTTTTTTAAGTAAATAAAATGGGAAGAAATGTAAAGGACATCAGTTGGAAATACTGTTTGCGGGGGCGGGGGGTGGCTTTTAAAGTAAATTCCAGCCTTTTTGCTTCTTTGGGAGCCCAGCTGGCTTGAATTTAAGCCTCCATTGGACTCGCTACTCTGCTCTGTCCTACAGAATAAGGGGGCAGTGATCCCCCACACTCACCTTGCTTTATCTGATCCCCATTCATAAAGTAGACGTGAGGAGAAATCACTGAATAATGAGTAGAACCTGACTTGAAGAAGAAAATTGTTGCCCTTATGTATAAAGAGATGTATTTATTATTTGCTTAAAATAAAAGTAACTCTTAGAAGGAATCAGCGTGTCATCAGATAGCCTTTTTACTTTGCAGTTGTCTTCAAGTTGGTCCCGAAACAGGTTTGCAGTAAATAGTATTCAAATAGATCTGCTGCCACAGAAAATAGGACCATAGAGCTTCAGTATTTGTGTTTTCTGTTCCTTGGAAGCCCGGAAAATGATCTGATGATGATTTTATGGGCAGGTTTCCCCTGCTGTCGAAAGTAGAGCATTCCTATGAAACCCCTCCTGGGGCGCCTGGGTGGCTCAGTTGGTTAAGCGACTGCCTTCGGCTCAGGTCATGATCCTGGAGTCCCAGGATCGAGTCCCACATCGGGCTCCCTGCTCGGCGGGGAGTCTGCTTCTCCCTCTGACCCTCCTCCCTCTCATGCTCTCTGTCTCTCATTCTGTCTCAAATAAATAAATAAAATCTTAAAAAAAAAAAAAACCCTCCTAAGCCAGAAAGGCACAAAGCAAAGAGGGTCCCCCGCTTTCTGAAAGGTTGCATTACACCACTTGACTTTGATAGGAAGACCTATTTTCTTGCGCTAACTGAAAGAAATCGGAAGAGGATTTTCACTGTTACGAAAAAAGCTGTCGCCATACTAACTTCTGTAAAAGCAAGTGGTGTACGCAGACTTCGGGAAAGCAGGATACCTGTTCCAGTTTCCCCTCCTGTTAACTCCCTCAGGATACTTCTCAGGGGCGGCTTTTTTTTTTTTGGAGGATCAACAACCTAGTGAAGAAGAAATACTTACTGATTACATTTCTTTTCCCTTAGGGATAAAGAAATGGAGAAGAGCTTTGAAGTAGTAAGACACAAAACTAGAGGTAGGGATGAGGTTTCAAAAAACCAGGCCCTTAAACTTCAGCTAGACAACCAGTATGCTGTGCTTGAAAATCAGAAAAGCAGCCACACACAGTACAATTAAGGAATGGTCTTTGCTAACGCTTCTAAGGTAACTAGGCCGCAGCTAACCACCAGGAACAGCCATTCGTCATCCGACCGCTGCTGGACCCACAGCCGATGCAGACCACTCGGTATAAGTGACCGGCCCTATGGTGCTGGGGAAGCACAGGTGTCACGGCTGCTGTTTGTATATATTGGATTTAGGGGGATTCTCATTGTTCTCTAAGTGCGTGAACTAGATTCAGCGGTGTTCTTTCATTATTACTCTGCAAATACAAAACCAGAAACTGCAGCCAGTGGTCATTTCAAAATGTTTTTATGTTCAGATACTGAGCCTTCGTAAGGGCTGACTACCTCAGGTTTGCTGCACTCGTTGCGGACTTCATGTGGATCACAACTTCTGGACACGAAGGTTACAGCTAGTAAGTGTCGGTGTGAAGGTTGAGACCAGCTCTACTGGATTCCTATCAGAAATCCTGCAGAAAGTCAGCCATCTGGGTTCTGATCTGCTGTACAAGATGAAGATTTAAGTGACCTTAATTAACCTGCCCTGTGCCCCACCCTTAAGGATACTCCGTAGTGGGCTGTGTTAGACTTCTGGAACGTGCCGCTCTCAAAAGAACTCCTGTGTTCAGATAATCTCTGTAGGGTTGTGATTTTATTATTTAAACTTTGAGTTGTATTCTGAGGTAACCACAAATTAAATTCAGCCAAACTTGGGTCCACCAAGTGGGAAAGGGGGTAGGGGAGGGAGTAATCTTATTTCTTTTAGTAATTTTTTATTTGGGTAGTGCTTTTTCTGTGTTCACACATTAAGGCCTTTTTTTTCTTTCCTTCTTTCTTGACTTGGAATAAGTTCTTTGACAGAGCATATTGCTTGGTTAAATAAGTGACCTGAAATATGCATTAGAATTGTGAAATGTCTTGTGAATTTGCCAATCCCTAGAGTGGAACCAAATAGCCTTTGGTGTCAAGGGCAGTGGATGTGAGGGGCTCTACTTCAGGTGCTGCTAAGCCTCCTCTAATCAGGTCTAAACTGCAGGGGAAAGAGTATGGGTTCTGCTCAGGCCAAGGGATTCACTGACCGGTCCTTATCAATTCAGAGCAACATGAGCAGAACCTTAGCCTAAAACCCACGTAGGTTTTCACGGATCTTGCATGATCTTTGACAAGATTTCCAGATACACTTGTGCCCCAATTTTTCAGGTATTGGACATTCTATAGATGCAGTGATTGTGCCAGTTTAGCTCTGTTACCAACCTTCTGGTATGTCTTTATGTTCATTTGAAGAGTCAGGGGCGAAGACAGGTGATGTAGCACTTCTGTTTTTAATAATTACAGCTTAAACTATCCAGTAATTTTTGGTCCTTAAAGGGACTTCAGGAAGCTACCCAGGATTACTGAAAAGTCCATCTAATGAGATAGTCTGGTAATGTACTAGTTTTGTATCTTTGGTTCAGTAGATATATTTCAAAGTGGTATGTGACCACTTGACGCAGAGTCTGGGTTTCTCTCTAATAAATCCCTTTGCCAAATGCAGGAGTTGCAGACTTGCTACTGGCAAGAGTGAAGCAAGTGAGCGAGTAAAACTATCCTGGTGTGGGGGCATATCTCCTACAGGAGTGCAGTCTTGATGAAAAGTGTCAGTGCAGGAATCGGCTCCTGGGAGGTCACAGTATCTCCTGACAGGACCTGCCCACCACATCTGGGCCAGGATGTTGGCGTTGTTTGAGGTGGCAGGCAGGGTGCCTGCCTTCTGGGGTATTGGGGTGAGCAGCTGAGCCAGCCAAGGAGAGGTTGGATGATTAAACAAGAAACGAGGGATTCTTGGTTAAACTGAAGACTTCATTTGGGAACCAAAAATCTTAACAAATAATCTCTTGGACCTTGAGCCACATATTTCCCCTGAAAAGTATGCATTTTTTTCCAGCAAAATTGCGTTGGGGGTTATGTTACTGAGGAATGAACTGAGATGAATATGTGGAACTTTTATTTAATGGCATACTATACTAGAAATCTGAAGACCTGCAGGAGATTTAAAATTCCAACTCTTGTTATAACTTTTTAAAAGATTGTGAAATTATAAAAATGCACATGAATCAAGTTTTAATATACTGTATGATGGGTGGGTGAGGCTGTCCATTGTACCATTTCTTTCTTTGAATTCTCAGGCATGGTTTGGCAGTGCAAGAACTCTGTAACATTAACAAATTCAATAAAAAGTAAATATATGGATTGTGCAGTCTGTTTTTATTCATTCCCCCCCCCATAGTTTTTATTCTTAATCCTTAAAGTATCCTGTTTTTTGAAAATGGCTAATTGATGCCACGCCTCCATCTCTGTAGGAGGATGGTACTCTTCATCTCAGGGGGTACCTTCTGTTGGAAGAATGCAGAGTACTCTGAATGTTAACAAAACAGCTGGAATGAAGGGGCTGCAAATCTAGGATGAGTATTCTTTAAAGTTAAAAGCATTGAAATGTACTTTTTTTCTTCGTTAGTGTATTAAATTTGTCATAAACCATTGTGATGCTGTTTGATGGCTTTTTTAAAAAAGATTTATTTCTTTTAGAGAGTGCGCACACGTGTGCACCAGTGACAGGAGGGGCGGAGGGAGAGAATCTCAGGCAGATTCCCCACTGAGTGCGGAGCCTAACTCTGGGACTTGATCTCACGACCCTGAGATCATGACCTAAGTGGAAACCAAAAAAAAAAAAAGACACTTAACCAACTAAGCCACCCAGGGGCACCTCTCTTTGATAACATTTTACCCGCAGAACTTCTTTCAGAATTGGAGTCAGTCCTCTCAAACCCTGCCGCTGCTCTATCAGCTCAGTTTATGTGATATTTGCAGTCCTTTGTTGCCATTTCATTTTTTATTTAAGATTTTGAGAGGGAAGGAGAGTGAGCACAGGAGCATGGGGGGGAGGTGCAAAGGGAGAAGCAGGCTCCCCACTGGGCAGGGAGCCTGACTTGGGCTGGATCCCAGGACCCAGAGATCTTGGATCTGAGCCAAAGGCAGACACTTAACTAAGCCACTCAGGCACCCCGCTCTGTTACCATTTCAATAATTACGCATCTTCCATCAGAAGTTTCCATCTCAAGAAACCACTTTGCACATCCTTAAGAAGCAACTCATCTGTTAGTTTTTATCATGAGATTGCAGCAAGTCAGTCCCATCCTCAGGCTCCACTTCTAGTTCTGCTATTTCCACCACATCAGCACTTATTTCCTCCACTGAAGTCGAACCCCTCCAAGTCATCCATGAGGGTTGAACTTCCAAACTCCTTGTTAATGTTGGTATTTTGACTTTCCCATGAATCACGAAATGTTCTTATAACTAGGATGGTGAATTCTGCCCAGAAGGTTTTCAACCTACTTTTCTCATCCATCGGAAGAATCGCTATCTGTGGCAGTAAGAACCTTACGCAATGTATTTCTTAAATAAGACTTGGAAGTCAAAATCATTCCTTGATCCATGGGCTGCAGAGTGAATGGTGTTAGCAGGCATGAAAATAGTAATTTTGTCCATCTCCATCAGAGTTCTTGGGTGACCAGGTGCGTTGTCAATGGGAAGTAGTATTTTGAAAGGAATCTTTTTCTGAGTAGGTCTCAACAGTAATACTTAAAATATTCAGTAAACCATGTTGCAGCAAATAGATGTGCTGTCCTTCAGGCTTTATTGTTCCATTTATAGAGCACAGGCAGAGTAGACTTAGCATAATTCTTTAGGACCCTAGGATTTTGGAAGGGTCATTGAGCACTGGCTTCAACTTAAAGTGACCATCTGCACTGGCCCCTAATGAGAGTCACCCTGTCACCCTGTCCTTTGAAGCTTGGAAGCCAGGCACTGACTTTTCTCCAGCTATGAAAGTCCTAGATGGAATCTTCTTCCAACATAAGGCTGTTTTGCCTACATTCAAATTTTGTCGTTTCATGTAGCCACCTCCATTCATTATCTTAGCTCGATCTGGATAATTTGCAGCTTCTACATCAGCACTTGCTGCTTCACTTTGCACTTCGATGTTGTGGAGACGGCTTCTTCCCTTTCCCCTAAACCTCATGAACTCTCCTCTTCTGGCTTCAAACTTGTCCTCTGAAGCTTCCTCACCTCTCCCAGACTTCATTGAATTGAAGAGTCAGGGCCTTGCTCTGGACTGAGGCTTTGCCTTAAGGGAATATTGTGGCAGGTTTGATCTTTCCAGAACACTCAAAACTTTCTCCGTATCAGCAATAAGTCTGTTTTGCTTTCTTATCATTTGTGTTGTTCACTGTGGTAGCACTTTTAATTTCCTTCAAGAACTTTTGCTTTACATTCACAACTTGGCTACCTGGTGCAAGAGGCCTACCTTTCGGCCTATCTTGGCTTTTGACACACCTTCCTCACTAAGCTTAATCATTTCTAGCTTTTGACTTAAAGTGAGAGACATGCCACTCTTCTTTCGTTTGAACACGTAGGGTTCTTAATTGCCCTGATTTCAATATTACTTACTGTGTCTTAGGGAATTGGGAGGCCCAAGGAGAAGGGGAGAGATAGGGAAATGGCCATTCGGTGGAATAGCTAGAACACACACCACACATTTATCGGTTAAGCTCAGGTCATGGGCACAGTTTATGGTGCCTCAAAACAATTCTACAATAGTAACATCATCGATCACTGACCACAGATCACCATAGCAAATACAACAATAATGAAAACGTTTGAACTACTGCGAGAATTACCAAAATGTGACACGGAAACATGAAGTGAGCAAATGCTGTTGGAAAAATGACACCAATAGATTTGCTCGATTCAGGGTTGCCACAAACCTGCAATTTGTAAAAAACGCAGTATCTGCAAAGTGCAATAAAGCAAAATGCATAAAACAAGTTATGCTGCTATTTAGAAAGTGGAGACAGAAGTTAGTGGGGGTAATCAGCTAGGCAGGAGAATCAAAGTAGAGAATCATGTAAGCAGATACTCTAATAACTAGACTCAAACTGCAGGTCTGTGATGGTTTTAATTCATCACCCAGCTATGTAACGAGGCATAATGGGGCCTGCAGAACGCAGGCAAGTTATAAATTGCTTCCTGAGCTTGATACAAAGGTAATGAATATTATGAAGGATACATTAATCAAAGAAAAGAAATAACTGCTTTAAATAAGCATTTTTATTATCTAAAAATAAATGAGAGGAATTATGTCCACATCAAGGATTTAGGATATTATATATATATAATATCATTAAGGTAGCCTTTTGACATTGGAGCCAAATGAGACTAGAATTCTAAATGATAACTGGATGTATGTAGTAACAGAAGCTGGGTCAAGCTTCAGTTGTCAACTCATTTCACCTGGGAACACCCTCCTCACAGCTGAACTTTCCAGGGATCCCATGAGAGCATGCAGCAAGAAACTTTTGTAAGGGTGAGTTCCTTTGTCTCCAAATACAAAGGAAAGTAGTGCGTAAGTCCGTAAGTCCAAGGGACACAGCACCCAGTCCCGGAGCTGTCTTAGCTGTTACAAGGCTTGAGCAAATAGCTTTAATACCAGGTGAGAAGCCCGGTTAACAACTAAGTAGGAGGCAGTCATTCCCTCACTTAAAGGGGTAGTAGATTTAACAGGGAATAACTTCAAAAGTTTCTTACAAATACTTAGTGTGATGTTCCACATTTTGCAGTGACATTTCAGGAAACACGGTCTTCTGTTTTTGTCTTCCTTTAGACCCGAGCGGTTTTTTACCCCAAGCTCTGAAGGTTTAAATCTTAAACCAGCAGATTTACCTTTTCGTACCTTGTTAGGACAAAGTGGAAATAATTTTCTATATCCTCTCAACACCAATTGCGTGATTTTACCTTTTCCCCCCGGGAAAACTCAAACTTTGATTTTTAAATCTTTTTTCAACTTTACATACAAAATAAACTTGATTATTTTGAACGTTAGCATATGGAAACACAAAACATTACCTCAGGACAGAGACTGTGTCCTTCCTTTTTAACGCCAAAGTTTAGATAGTATGTCATCCCTAAAAAAGACGGCGGCTGAAGTTTTTATCCTGGATGAGCAACTTTCTCCATAGCAAGGTGACTCTACAGCTGATGTCCCTGGTTCCCAAACTGCTGCATTTTGGCATAGCCTAAAGGTTTTTTAAAAAATACTGATGCCTGACTCCTGTGCGCCCCCACCCCATATGGTGTGACTTGCCCACAGGGAATTTGTTTCTTTTTTTTTTTTTAATGTTCCCCAGTTAATTCTAATGTGCAGCAAAGTTTGGGACCCACTGGGTTACTTCAAAATAAGAGGCAGATAATCTGTGACTGAGTTGGAAAAGTCACAAGGCTAGAGAAATGGAGAAAATGTTTTCAATTGTATTCTTAGCCCAGAAAGGATGATCATGTTTGTAAATGCATTCTTGGATACTGTGAAATGGGGGCAAATTCATACTGAAATGGGGGGGGGGGCTGTAAGCTGAAATATTAAATTCTTTTGGTTTTTATGTATACCTTTTTATAGTTCAGCAATTATCGATATAAATACCATTTTTAAGATTTCCCATCATTTCTTAGAAAATGACCTCACAAATCAACAGGATTACTGTAGCAACTTTGTTTTCCTTCTCTATACAATGATCTTATTCCGTTGGCCTTCTGTCTTGACAGTAAATCTGACTGTTCCAGAATTCACTCCCTGCAATTGTTAATCTGCCCTACCCTGCTTGTGGCTACTTTTAATTTGCTCGTCCATTATGTTGCCCAGTTACAACACCTCTGGGTTTTACGGGTTTCTTTAGAATCATGCAATTCTCTCTGATGACTCTGAAATGAACCATAATTAACTTTGCAAGAGATAAGCATCAGCAACTGCAGAATCCCACAGCTCATCTACTCAGGAATTGGAACCTCAGACGCTTCTACCACCCACACTCTTGGCCTGAAATTCACTTCACTCATCAGCTCCTTCCTTTTAAGGGTCAGATGGGTTGCATTAAGCATCCTTTTTAATGGTGTGTAGGCACAGAGAGGAGTCCTCTTAGGCTTGATTTTGGCTTTAATGTGCTGGCATCATTGCGATTTTCTTCCTGGGTTTCTCTAATTTTGCAGTTCAAATGTATGTCTTTAATTAGAACCTGAATTAAAGTTGGAAATCAGGAACTCCCACCCTCAACAGCACCATGAGAATGGGGGTGGAAGAAGGTTGCCAGCTTCCATTTTATTCCTTTGTTCTTCCCTGACATTCCCTTCTTCCTTCTCTCTCT